TTATTTCAAAGAAATTTCTTAAATTATGAAAATATAAAATTGCATTTGCACATGTTACATTCCTTTGTGGAGCTAAAATTGATTTTCATTGTTATGTCTAGTATAGTAGTATTTTCGTATAATTTATTCTATATTTTTGATCTTTACACAATAATATAATGTTTTTGAACATTAAGTCGAAAAAATTAGTTTAAAAAAGTTGCATTAGATATTTACAATGTATAATTAATATTTGTTTATAATTAATATTTATAGATAAATATAGAGGAGAAGGAGGGAGGCAGCTTTGTAGGCAGGGGCAGTTTTGAACTTTACAAATTAAAAATAAACTATCTTTTTCTGCGATTACAAATTTTTGAAATGGCGATACAGTCATAGATAATCGTCAAGTGATAGCTGCCGCGATTGCAATTATTAATCTAATCTAGAAGCGTTTTGTGTTTTTATGCCTTCGTACTAAACGTCTCACATAAGCATTTTAAAATTAAATGATTAAATAATTAACATTTTCTTATGCTATGTGTTTCTTCTTACGTTCATATTTACGTAATAAAGATGAAATATTTAGTTTTTATCGATATTTTGGTAAATAAGATATTTTTTCGATGTGATTAAAAGGATAAATTTAAACGAAACAAATCGGGCACCTTAGAACATTTCAGTCGCAACTGTCGTGAACTCCCATGGCATATGGCTAATGAGAAATATATATACAAGAACGTAAGACAGTAAGACGTAAGCAGTAAGGAAAATCATAACATTGGATTTGCTATTAGCCTTACGGTCTATTGGATTAATTAATTTGCTTAGATTGCACCCGGTTGCACCAACGTTACTTTTATTTTAAGCGAAAAACTCTATCTCATTTTAAAACCGAAAAGAGACAGAGACAAAGAGAGCCTCGCATAAAATTAAAGTAACATTGATACAATCGGACTTTATTGTGATTGCTTAATTTGTTTACATGTTATAGGCTTTGTTTACACCGTGCATTTAGGCCGCGACCTATACAATAGAGGTTCTTGTTTATCCTGTAAGTTAAACAAAAGCATCTATTGTATATTGGACTAAGGCTGTGTTCCAAAATTCACTGTACCGAAAATCTACGGTTTACGTCATATACATTTTCAGCAATGACAATGAATTTTGGAATACAGCCTAAGCGCATGATATAAACGTAGTCATTGCCTTAAACGTTTACAACAAACAGTAGTATAGGCTGTAAACATGTCGGCAATAAGAGTCTGAGCACAAGAATTGTCATAACTTAGAGACTTAGTTGTAGACGTAAGTAACGCACAAGCTTCGACGTATGACATACGATTTATTGCCGTCGTTAGAGACACGGTAATAAGTTGTACATCATACGTGAAAGTTCACTTATGTCTACAATTTAAGTCTAAGTAAGTGTTATAATAATTCTTGTGCTCAGATCCTAAGTTGATTTTCCGGCCCAGTCAGAAATGGTTAATCGATCAATGTCAAATCGATAATGATTCAATGTCGCTCGACGTCAAATCGAGTTAATTCGATATCCGTTAAGAAATGGTTGATATTTATTAGATATGGGAAAAAATTCGTGGCGTTTTTTAATGCCATCTAACGGAAAAAACGCCACGAACTTTTTCCCATACCTAATATTTCACTTATTGTACGCCTTATTACATCTTTTGCTACATTGATCGATTTGATATCGAGTGACGTTGAATCAGGATCGAATTAATGTTGATCGATTAATATCGAATGTTTGGCTAGGCCGGAAAATCAGCTTACTTCTGATCTGAGGTCTACAACCTTTACTGCTACTGTTCATTGTAGATTATTACGTTGTATATGACATAAGCTTTAGTTCTTTCGCTTGTAGATACATGATAAAGTTATATTTGATTATTGATTAGCGTCGAACACGATTTACATATTACTATATGATTCATAAAGGAGCATAAGGATAAGAACTCTCTATACTGCAAATTTATAATTGCTTTCAACAATATAACAGGTAGAAATATACAGTTTTTTTAAACATCTTTTCATTTAACAGCCAAATTATAGGTTACGGAACGCAGCCTGTAGCGTATAACTTGTATATAGTACATGTATACAAGTACATGTACAGTAGAACTTGGATTATCTGACATGGTTGTTTTTAATCTTTCAGATTATCTGACATACTTTCCAGCAAGAGACACAGATGACACAGTGTAACACACTGAATCATTACATCCTTTTGTTATTTGCTAAATAAAGATGATCTGTGTCACTTGCTAGAAAACATCACTCATCGAATTTTTGTGATGATAGCGTTACACGCATTCTTACTAATTAAAATGCGAAATCTTAAGAAATCGATTTATAAATATTTTTTATAACAGGGAGTTATAAGAGTTAAGAAAGACAGTGTCTACTTGAAACTTAAATTTTGATAATTTATGATTAGAGTTTATGTTTTTAATTTTATTTTAATTATCATAATCATTAAAAATTCGGTAATTATGCAGTATAAGGGACTATCCTGCAATGACCTTGACATATGTTATCAAAGTCATGACCCGAAATGACCTTGGATAAATTTTTCGAACTGTCGTTCGTTGTTCCTTAAAAAATTATTAACAAAAAAAGTTCATCAATAAAACCTAACTTTAGAACACGACTGCGCTCCGATGAAACAAAGTCCCTTTTTTAACAGTATAAAATATTTCCTTATATAGTAAATATTTCCTTATAGTTTCTTATATAATTTTTGTGTCTTTAGAGAATTTGTCCGAATTTTTCTATGCTTATATGTGAAACCTTATGCCTTATAATGTACATAGTGTGGAGATATAAAAATAATATTTTTGCTAAATATGTTTTTGTTTATTTGATGTTCATTCAATATTTATATTTTCAGATATTGGATATTCTTTAGCCATTATGTTAAAGCCATTATGTAAAACTGCATAATTAATAAAAGTTAACTTTTGTTTTTCAACTTAATATATTTTTAAAAAAGAGGCTTTTATTTGTATAATTAAATTAGTACATAAAGAACGCTTAATCTTTCTTTTTTACAATGCGTTCAAAACTGCCCCAGGGTAATTCAAAACTGCCTAAGAAGGGTACTTTTGAACATAAAGAGTGTTTTTTTTAAATATAAATAAAATATATATATTGTTATGATATTTGTTTCAATGTGGTTTATTATTGTATCAATATCTGTAGTAATTACCAGCACAACAGAAATATAAATAATTTCATTACATTGTAATTTATGAGTCTGAGAAGAAAAAGTGTTCAAAACTACCTCCTCTCCCTTAAGCATATAACAGAATAAGTATAATAAGAATATATAAATTTAATAATGATGTTACTGAAAATTAAGTATCATAAATTTGCTTTATTATATTATTGTTAATAATGAGGACAAGGCATATAATCTTTATACAAAAGTACACATGTTTAAAATCCTTTTTATATATAATATCTTACTTTATATGTAATATATACAGTATAATAATTTATTATTATATATTCTATATTTATTATTATATATATTCTACTTTATATAACTTTTGATAAGAAGTAAAATTATATTATAAATCGTAACACACATTATAACTTTTTAAATGTTTGAGATTATGGGCGGAATCCATAGACATTGTTCAAACTTCGAGATGATCTTAAACTAGTGCTTCAGATATCATAAATCAATCACAGAATCGTATTTTAAGACATTGCTTGAGACGGTCTTGAAAACAAACTATGGATACCGGCCTATATGTGCCTTATCCTAATTAAAATAATATAGCCTTATCCTGAGATAATACTTCTTTTTTCTCATCAATTTCTTCACAATTAAAAAAAAAATGATTTAATTATATCAGCAGCGCTGCAACCAGTAGCCATAATGCAAGGTAAGAATATTAAAGTACATTTCAACAAAAATTTACACAACATTTTTATCCTCTTCTCATTTTCACGCTCTTTCTTTTTGGTATCTTACGCTTATCCTTCTTTTAATATCTTATTGCGTCTTTAAGTTGAAACATTAATGTACTGAGCCAAATTTTAGTAGTTTTTAGCTTAATTAATAAACATTTTTGATTATTTTATTCTATTAATCATTATTATTTTTTTAATATTTTATTTAATAACATTTTAATAATTTTAAAATAGTATAGTACAATATACACACATACATAGTATACATATACAGAGTGTTTTTCTCTAATTTGATCATTTAAAATATCTCCATTGTTTTTGATGATGCGAGAAAATATCACATGAGATCTTGCTCGATTTGAAATGGCACATTATGATGATTAAAAAATTTTCTCAATTTTTTTTTTTTTTTTTTAGACTTCAAGATCATCCTCCATTTCTTGAAAGTGGAATTGTATGATTTTTTTTACATAATATGATTCTTCTAATTATTTTGAATATCAAAGTATTTAATTTATTTACAGTTTTTCAACATATTAACATCTTTCTAATAAAATGCCTGATTGAACATCAAATTGTTAAAATTGCTTGTCAATTTCGTGATATTACTACAGTAGTTTAATTGCGTTTATAAGTCCGAAAAGTTAATTCGGCGTGCGAATGATTACAAATATACATGTACATATGTTAGAGTTTCACCCGGATCTATAGATATTCGGGTAACCGGATATCTGAATAGTGATATTCCGGATCTTATACTTGAATATTGAATAATACTCTGCGGATTCAAATCCGGATATCCAAATCCGTCCGGATCCAATCTTTCGAATCTATTATCTCATAAATCCGATTTCTGATTAAATTACAGACTTCACTAGAGGAAAATCGATGACGTAGATTTTCTAAAGCGACACCCTCCTATTTTTCTGAAATTAACTATTGCATTTTATTAATACTAATAAAAACATGATCTATTTAGTTGATTAAAACTATATTAATATATATAAAATTATGTTAAATTGAAGTTATATTAATATGTAATTATATTAATATGTAAAAGTATATTTAGCATATATTAATATATAAGCAAAAATAAATATATAGTCTCTCTTGCGTGCGCCTTCCACAAGCGACACAGTACACAGTGATCTTATCTTTATTTAACATTGGCAAATAACAAGGATATAATGATCCATTGTATCGTTTATTGAAAGGCATATTCTATTTCTCGATCTCACTATTTCTCACCCTTTTTCACGCTCTCATCCCCCTTCCCCTATCTCCCTCTCTCTCTCTCTCTCTCTCTCTCTCTCTCTCTCTCTCTCTCGTCCTCACTCTTTCGTTTTTTTTCATACATATATACACCCTGTGTATGTAGAGAAAGATATTGAGAAAATATTGATTGCAAAAATATCCGAAATCCAAATAATGAACGGTTTAATCAATAAACTTTAACGGATATCAGTTTGAAACAAATTCGGATCCGAAAGATCCGCTTTAATCGGATATTTTATATCAAATCTATTTCTATCTCGGATATCCGGATACTCGGATAAACGGATAATCATCAACCCTAACTTATACAGTATATATAGTAATTTAGATTGAATTACTTAAGCATTAAAGATCTAGCTTTGATGACCATTATTTCTATTTCTTATTGTCGAATTTTTAAATGTACGATACCAAGATTTTTATTGTTGAAAGTATTAAGGTAGTGATATCAAAAATCAATAACTTAAATAATAACTTTATGACAGTGCTCACAAAGATCTGCATCAGACCGAGTCGCCGAGCGCTCACGTGACGCTCTGGCTCAGGAGCGTCCCTATACCAGAAATATACTGGGAGCGCATCTTCCGCCAAATTATTTATTATTGAAACATGTTTTTAACATAAAATTTTTTATTATTAATTTATTCATTGTTTCTTAATAATATACTTATATCTTAATGTAGTTTTCTAATACATTACAATTACGATAACGCATATTTTGACGATAACTTTCAACATCACCTTCTGGTATAAGAACGCTCCTGAGTCAGAACGTCAGGTGAGCGTTCGGTGGCTCGGCCGCCGAGCCTCGAGCGGTAATGGGGGTCACTCGCTGGAATCAGGGAAATGTACAGATCTTTGCGAGTACTGACTTTGAGATATTTTATATTTTATTCTGGCATATTTTGACATAAAATGCAGTTAAATAATTCGTAAATTATTAATTTTTTAATGATCATACCTTAATACTTTTATAAGCAGAATAATGAGAAGATGGATTTAAAAAAAATATATGTATGCAAAAAGGATAACTTTTTAAATAAGCAGCTATTTTCTTTCCATCAATTGATTCATCTCATTATTCTATATATAAAAATATTAAAGATTATCAAAAAATTAATAGTTTACGATTTATATTTAACATTTTATATCAATATGTGTCAGAATGAAGTATAAAATATCTCTTTTGCCTTAATAGTTTTGTACGTAGAATAACCAGAAAAATCATATATTACGTAAAAAAAATCATATAATTTCATTTTTAAAAATGAAGTTAACCTTGAACTCTTCGAAGTATCTTCAAGTGGACAAATATTATCGCCCTATGATAGATCCCTTCATATCGTGTAATTTTGATTATACAAATTTCCCTCTGAATCTTATAGAAGATATTTCAGATACTAATATTGGGACATCCTATATATACAGGGGAGAGAGGGACAGCTTTCTACTACAAGGGCAGTTTTGAATTTTACAATTTAAAAATGAATTGTCCTTTTCTGCAATTACAAATTATAATTTTTGAAATGACAATACAGTCACAGATAACTGTCAAGTGATAGCTGCTGTCTTACAGTTGTTTGGTCTTTGGTAAATTCTCTTGTTTGATTTTTCGACCATATGTAAGGGGTCACAGTATCATGCATAATTTCAGCTTTAGAGTGTCTTCAGGGACAGAGGCTCGCTTATGTTTATGCATTTAGTAATTGTATTCTTACTCTTTAGAATTTGTCAACACTCGAGGGGACCTACAATTTAACGCCGAATCCGAATGGCGAACACGAAAAACGCGTATGCGGAGCACAAATGGAATCGAACTCGGATCTACAGATCGCACTGAGCGGCGAACCACTCGGTCCTCCCCTTGCAATTGTTGATCTAGAAGCATTTTGTGTTTTTGTGCCTTTGTACTAAATGTTTCGTTTCACATACGTAAGAATTTTAAAATTAAACCATTAATAATAACCATTAATAATAATTAATATTTTGGCATGCTATGTCTTTTTCTTATGTTTGTATCTACATAATAAAAATGAAATATTTGGTTTTTATCAATATTTTGGTAAACAAAATAAAATATTTTTTCAATGTGACTGATAGGGGTAGATTTGAACAAAGCAAAACGGGGCATCTTACATTTCAGTAAATGTCACAAGCTACGCGATCTTTTATGAAGCTCACATACAAAAATATAAGATAGTAAAACGTAAGGTCATCTACAATGAACAGTAGCAATAGAGGCTGTAGACACGAAATAACCATTTCTGGTTAGGCAAGAAAACCAGCTTATTTCCGACGTATCTACAGTCTCTATTGCTACTGTTCATTGTAGACGATGCTTTATGGTTTCTACTGTGATTCACCAATTTGCTTACGTGTTATTGTTTTACGTATTGTTTTTGTATGTGCCATAAGTTTCAGTCCTTCGCGAGACATACATGACAAAGGTTTGAATGTTGAAACACGATCTACATATTATTAAAAGATTTATAATGCAAATATAAGGATAAGGAATTCTCTATACCGCAAATTTATATAATAATTGCTTTCGACAATATAATAGGTACAGTTTTTTAAATATCTTTCCTCCTTAATACTCAAGTTATATGTAGTACAAGAGCAGCCTGTAACCTATAATTTGTATACAGTACATGTATATAGTAGAATCTGGATTATGTGACGTGGTTTTCTTAATCTCTTGGATTATCTGACACTTCTAGCAAGAGATACAAATGACACAGTGTAACACATTGAATCATTACATTCATGTTATGTTTGCTAATGTTAAATGAAAATGACATGATCTTGTTCACACTGTGTCGCTTGCTGGAAAGCATCATTCATTATTGTTTTGTGATGATAGTTACGCATATTCTTACTGATTAATATGCGATATCTTGAAAAATCGCTTTATAAAAGTTTTTTATAAGAAGGAAATTTAATTTTTATAAGAATTAAGAGAGATAATCTATTTGAAATTTAAATCTTAATAATTTAAGATCAGAGTTTGTTGTATTTTTATTTTGATTATCATAATTTAATTACAAGTCCTTAATTTTTATCTTTCAACTTTTAACATATTTCCAAAAAAGAGACTTTTATTTGTATAAATAAATTATATTTGTTTATAAATTATAAATTAACATAATAAACGTTTAATCTTTCTTTTTTTACAAAAAAATTGTCCCAGAGTAATTCAAAACTGCCCTTCCCTCCTCCCAGAGAGATATTTTTGAACATAAAGAGTGCTTTTTTAAAATATAAATAAAATATATATTTCGACAAGGGGCTTAGAGTAATAGTTGTTCGTTGCTATCTTTAATAAAAATTTAAAATTTTTAAAATTAATTAATTGAGTGTGGATAGTACAATTTTATTAAACTATATATATCGTCGTTATGATATTTGTTTTAATGTGGTTTATTAATGTACATCAATATCTGTAATAACTACTAGCACAACAGTATACTTTCAAAAAGTATTTTCTGAGATATTTAGCCGGCTCGGAACTTTTGACAGGCACACAGGCTGTATATTTAATATAATATATACTGTGATAAAAAAAATTATGGCATAAAAAAATTGTGCAAAAATTGGCCAATTTTGACTAATGATAATTTTGTAAAAAAGTAAGTAATATTATTTTTATCATAATAATATTTTTTCTTCTTTAAATTAAAGTTTGAAATCTGTAGTT